TTCTATACAAAGTCATTCCTCTGCTCACTGAGATAGTTGCATATCCTTTGGAAAGGCTCATCAGAAACTCTAAAGAATGCAGCCCTTTGTGTCTCACCTATCTGTGACCTAGATGCCCCTCCCTGCTTCAAGTCTTCCTGCCTTTGCTTCAAGTTGTCCCGCCTTTCCAGACCAAACCAATGTACTTCTTACATATATTGATTGATGTCTCATGTCTCCCTAAACATATAACACCAAGCTGTGCCATGACCACCTTGGGCACATATTGTCAGGACTTCCTGAGGCTGTGTCACGGATGCATCCTCAACCTTGGCAAAATAAACTTTCTAAATTAACCGAGACCTGTCTCCGATTTTCTGGGTTCGCATTTTGGTAACCATGAGGGGATTCTGAGTGACGGTGCCCTTGACCTTTGACAAATCTATTGGTGCTTGGTACCAGCATAAGCTAACTTTATGGCTCAAACCAATAGGACAATTTGCTGAGGTCTGAGAGCACCCCCTCCAGAGAATCCCTGATCTGTCAAAATTTGATTGAGATCTAAAGTTTATTTTGCTTGTACAACTCCTCTTTTTTTGGAATTTTACTTGCTTCCAACAGGAAGGCAAGCTTTTCTACTTCCATGATGATGGAAGGCAGGTAACTCCTTTGTGGAGTTTGAGCTCCCTTCCAACAGGGAAGATGAGGTTTTTTTTTCCTGATTCTAGAATGGTAGAGAGCAGTCTACAGCCTGATACCCATCCGTAGGTAAGAAACTGGTTTGGGATTCTGTCTAGCAATTTCCTCTTAAACGACTGAAGTTAGCACTTAACAACCAGCTGCTGTTAATTTCTGCTGTTGGATACAATGAGTTCTAAATTTCTCTTCAAAGAATCAATATGGCAGTATGTTCAGTTATTTGTCCTCCATTTTAAAGTTTAACTTCCTCATAGTTTCAGTAAGCAACCTTTTCCACCAGTTCTAATCAGTAGTTCACATCTGTTCCCCTGGTCATCTGCTTTGTCCTTACCCATCCTGATCACCTGCTTTGACCTGAGTAACCCCTGGTCACCTGCTGTGACCTGAGTCACCTTTAGTCATCTGTTCCATAACCATCCTTCCTGTCAAACTGCTCACGCTGCCACTCTGGCTCATACTCCTGCTCCCTTTAAAATAGCCAATCAGAATTAGCTTAGACTGTGCAGTCCAACCCTAGCCAATATGGGAATGACACAGCAGTAGGGGCTACCTGCATCAGGATTAAGAACCCCTTCCCCTCCCCTGTTGTGGTGTGTGCTCACCATTGTTCCATCTGTGAGATGCACCCTTCTATAGAAGTAAATTGCCTTGCTGAGAAATTTTATATTCAAGTGCTACTTCTTTTGCGGCACCAAAAATTTACATATAACACTGCTTACATGAAGAGCACTCAGAAATCGTATAATTTGTATGATCATTGTTAGTTTAGCAGTATTTTGTCCTAGCTGAAATATGGTAATAAGATTTTAAAAAAAATTTTTTTTAAGGAGCTCAATGGTTAAAAGCCAGCTTAATTAAAAGGCTAACATCCAAGATGTGTGTGTGTATCTGTGCATGTTTGTATTTGAAAGGGCTTCATAGTTTTGGTGTTTTTGTTTGTTTTTCTCTCCTAAGACATTGGTTTTTTTGAGCAAAAGTTTTTTTTTTTTTCTTCTCGTTGACTGAATTTTGTTTTCAACTGATTTTTTTTTCTAAAATAGTTATTGCAACAGAGGCTACTCTTGGGTTTTTAAGGAAGAGTGTAGCTGAATTTTTATGTTTAATTTGGCTCAAAGAAAAATAAAAGTTTCTCCCTCTAGCACCACCAGATTTTTTTCTCTCCATACTTATGATGTAAATTTTGCTATTTGATTTTCATCTGAATTGTTTCCTTTAATGTGCAAATTTAAGGCTATTTATCTGACAACTCTCTAGGGTTATAAAACAGATTATCAAGAATCTGAAAGTCTAAGGTAGAAAAAAAAAGGAGGGTACTTTATAAATCTATAAAATGTACTTACATCGGCATTCCTAATACATTTTTATATGTATTTATGTGTTGTGTACAGAATGTTTCACTACTAAAAGTATATAAAAGAGCTCTAATTAATTGGCTTTTTAAAAAGCACTTGAATTAGATACTAAATAAGAAAAGACTAGTCAAATGCTTTTCAAGTTTATGTAACAAAATCTTTAATAAATAAGCTAGCTTTACAATTATTTGTAAAGTAACATTAGAAATATCTTAAGAATTGCTAGCGTACATTTTTGTTTGCATTTGTTAATCAAGCAATTTCATATTTATCCCTGCCAAATACTATAAGTTGTTAAAATTTGGCATGGGGTTACAAAACTATAAACCCAGCCCAAAACAGAATGATCTTTGCTGATGTAACTTTTAATAAATAAGACGTTGATATGGGTTTAATTAAAATAGCTGCATCTTGAATTTAGTAAGATTACCATAACTTCTAATCCTGTGGCTTTAGGCAGTCTGATCCACAGAAAATAAGGAGGATTGTTTTGGGAAAGGGCTATTATGGTCTTTGTTTCAAAGCTAAACTAAAAACTAAGTTCCTCCCAAAGTTAGTTTGGCCGATGCCAAGGAACGAACAAGGACACCTAGGAGGTCAAGAGCAAGATGTAGTCAGTTAGGTCAAATCTTTTTTCACTGTCTCAGTTATAATTTTGCAATGGTGGTTTCATAACTTTAAATCATGACTATCACAGTTTTCGTAAATTAGGTAAACAAATAAAACAATTAGGTAAATGTAATGGAATACTTGTAGACAAATTGATCATAATATATAATATAAAGTTATATTAAATTAAATAATGGATATTTTATTATTTGGGTATTTTCCAATTATACATTGTGGGAAAACATTCTTGCTAAAGGAAAAACAGAATGTCTTTTTCTTTTTTCCCAAAAAAAAAAAGGTGAACAAGTTTTGTCTAATTCAAAGCTTATGTATAAAGCAAGATGAAAGAAATCAGGAATAAAAAATGGTGTAAAGAAAATTATAAAAATAAAGAGGTTTTCTTTTCTTTTTTGAGGCAAAAGAGCTTAAAGAAAAATAATTTCATATAAGAAAGAATCTTGTATGGTAACTTTAGTCTTAAAATAAAATAACTGGTTGTCTAAAAAGGAGGGATGTTGAGAACAAATCAGAAAGTCTGATCATGTCATGCATAGTCAGTGTGAGTCACAATAAGAGGATTTATATATATATATATATATATATATATATATATATTTTTTTTTTTTTTTTTTTTTTTTTTGAGACTGAGTTTCGCTCTTGTTACCCAGGCTGGAGTGCAATGGCGCGATCTCGGCTCACCGCAACCTCCGCCTCCTGGGTTCAGGCAATTCTCCTGCCTCAGCCTCCTGAGTACCTGAGATTACAGGCACGTGCCACCATGCCTAGCTAATTTTTTGTATTTTTAGTAGAGACGGTGTTTCACCATGTTGACCAGGATGGTCTTGATCTCTTGACCTCGTGATCCACCCGCCTCGGCCTCCCAAAGTGCTGGGATTACAGGCTGGAGCCACCGCGCCCGGCCTTATATATTTTTTTAAAAAACAAAAACTTTCATATAATCAAGTTGTCATATTATGTTTTGGTTTACTTAGAAAAAAAAACTGAGATAAATTTTTTTTTTATTGAGGCTATTACATCCATGTATCTTTTTGTATGTGCTTTTAAAGTCCTTGAGTAAGAGGGCTTTAACTCCTAAGTCTAAAAAGGACACCAAGTCCTGCTTAAACACTGTCAGCAATTAAAGCCTCCTCTTAAACACTGTCAGCAATTAAAGCCTCCTCATCTTTAGGCCCTGTAGAAGATGCCAATCAAAACAAACTGCATTCCTGAGACACAGGGCAAAAAAATTAAAGCTATTCAACTCTTCAAGGCCCAGGAACTAACAAGGAAGAGGTGGGTGTGTAAGATTGTAAGGGCCAATTTTGAAAGATAAAATAAGTTCAGTTTCTCTATAAATTAATTATTAATGTCAAAGGCACACCAATGCAAAACCAGTATGTAGACCCCTGTGTCAGATTAACAAGGTTTTCTTGAAGCATTAATCAACTTCTTAATAAAGGTTACAAAGGTTATAGAAGGTTTATGGAAGTTATATTTTATAATCAAGATAGAATTTTATAGCTTGCTTACAAAATTTTAAAAAACAAATGTAATTGGCTTCATGCTGTTTTTATTAGGACTTGTTGTTTAGAAAATTAAATCTCCTCTTTCAAAGAAGGAAGTTTTTTGCTTTTTCTGAAATGCTTGAATTATCACTTTGGTTAAATAAATGACTTTACAATGACTTGTAATCCTATTTTGTAATATCAAGTGTTTTAAACCTTTTATATTTGACAAACTTTCCAAAATCAAATTATAACATGTCTTTTTCTAACCTAATTAATTATTTAAGACATTAGGTTCCCTAAGTTCAAAAATGACATAATTTGGCTTATTTTTGTATAAAAATTATACGGGAAGCATTGTCAAATATGAAATGGTGTTTGGTTTTCTTTGGGCTATATTTGTGTAAATATGTTACTGGTATGTGTTACTAAATTATGGGAAACTCCTGTAATTCTGATATAACTTAGTATACTTTTTCAGTAATAATCATGAGTGTTAAAATTATTGTGTGCCACAGAGGTAACACATTTCCTTGTCAATTGTGTGTTTTAATGATGGCTGCCTTTTTTCATCCATGGACAATTCTCTTGTTTTGTCTTGTTTTAAATGCTGTTTAAAAGGTGGGTTTGTAATAAGCTATAGGACTCTAACAGGTGCACTTAAATGCAGATTTTATGATAACTTTGGAAATTGTCACATTGGAATAAACAAAAAAACTTTCAGAACTCTCGTGCAGAGCTGAATGACTATCAAACAGAACAGGAGTTAACTGAATTAACTGAACCAATAGAAAACTGAAGTAATCTTTTTTACTTTTTGCTTAAAACATTGCCGATATTTTTTTTGGTTTTTCAGAGCTAAGAAAACTTTTAAGCTATTTACAGCTTTTAACAATTCAGTAAAGTATACTCCTGTTAACAAAATTTGGGGCATATTTGTTTCTCTCTACCTGGTTTCTCCAGACTTTGGAAACTATTTGTGAGTATTCTTAATTTATGGCATGTAGTTATTTGCATAAGTGCAATAAGAATCTGTTTTCTTTTGTAATAAGACACAATTGAAGAAATCAGTTATTTTACCAAGGCTTTGGCTAGAATGGTATGCTTTCCTGAAAGGAATCAAACTTGATTTATGGAGCCAATAAAGCTCTTGGAAAAACTATCCTCATATTTTGTGTATACAGTCCCTGTACAGGGTTTCTGTTCTGTGTAAGTAAAGAACGTCACTTTCCAACAGGTGCAGAAGCCCCAGGTTTATCTTGGAACCTCAAGAGGAGAGGAAATTCACCCAACTCATAGATATTTGATGGCACAAATCCATGGTTGGGCTCGGCTTTAAAAAGGTCTTATCTGAGATTCCTCCTGTGGAACAAAGTTCCATCCATGCCAATTTAAAAACTTATGTAAAAAATTATTATTATTCTTGCTGCACTGAATACAATAATTAAGCCAAGTATAATAAAGCAAACCAGTCCTACTGTGATTTGTCTTTAATAAAAATGGGAAACTAGAGATAGAAAAATTATGTTTCAAAATTATAGTAGACCTGTTGTTAGATTCTAGTCTTGGCTACTTTTTTTTTCAATTTTTATTATTTTCTATAGTTTGGACCGAATTCTAATTTTTCTTGACTACAAGTCTTCAAAATAATGTTTTCAATTTCTTTTCCTTTTCTTTTCCCCATTTTTCCTAATTTAGAGTCACTGAAAACTAAGCTGTGCTTTCTTAAAACCCTGCGAACTGAAGCAGACAACTTCAGAAGAAAATAACAGCAACCTATTTACAAACATAAGCCACTTTCATAACTGCCTAGTAATGTATGGACTTCAGAGTAATGTGGCCTATATCGATTTTTCCAGGATTGCTCTTTTGTTTGTTGTTGTTTTTTTCCCCTTTCCTCTCCATTATTTTCTCTTCACAGGACATGAGACTTCACAACCTGTTAAAAATGAGCTTTTGGGACCTACTCATCTAGGAATAAAGCATTCTAGCTATGAGAAATCAGATGAAACCTAAGACCAGAAACTCATTTTCTTATAAAATGCTTTCTCCAAAGGATTTCAAAAAAGAAAAATGGGAAGAAAGGAAAATATCTTGGCCCCTGAAATCACTAAGGAAAACTCAAGCTGGAAACTGCTTAGGGTGAAACTGCCTCCCATTCTATTCAGTCACTCCTCTGCTCACTGAGATAGATGCATATCTGATTTGCCTCATTTGGAAAGGTTAATCAGAAACTCGAAAGACTATAACCCTTTTTGTCTCACCTATCTGTGACCTTAGTCTTCCTGCCTTTGCTTCAAGATGTTCCGCATTTCCACACCAAACCAATGTACTTCTTACATATATTAATTGATGTCTCATGTCTCCCTAAATGTATAAAACCAAGTATAAGACCATGTATAAGACCACCTTGGGCACATGTCATTAGGACTTCCTGAGGTTGTGTCACGGGCACATCCTCAACCTTGGCAAAATAAACTCTAAATTAACTGAGGCCTGCCTCAAATGTTACTGGTTTCACATGAGTAACTCCTCTACATGTCTTCTGCATTCAACAGACACATACTGAACAGGAATTCCCTACCCTACTCCTGCTGGGTATGAAGCCAGATGCTAGGATTGAAGAGCTTTCATGGGTGGATGTACATGGAACAAATGTGAACACAGCAGGATGGAGAGGGAGAAGTACCTACCAATGCTTTGACCCGTCCTTAGTCAGTTCTCCTGGAGATGACAGAAAGAAGCATGTTAAGAATGGGAAGAAGCCTGGACTCGGTGGTTCACATGTGTAATCCCAGCACTTTGGGAGCCCAAGGTGAGTGGATTTCTTGAGCCCCAGAGTTTGAGCAGCCTGGGCAACATAGCAAAACCCCATCTCTACAAAAAAATACAAAAATCAGCTGGGCATGGTGCTGCATGCCTGTGGTCCCAGCTACTCTGGAGGCTGAGGTGGGAGGATCACTTGAGCCCAGGTGGTGGAGGCTGCAGTGAGTCATGATCACACCACTGCACTCCAGCCTGGATGACTGGGTGACTGAGACCCTATCTCTAAAAAAATCAGGATAGGATATTAGCTCAGAGAGCTCTGAGCTGGGTTCCAGAGGACATGGGAGTGAGGTGGGCTCAAAAGCACCTGTGGAAGTTTTGAAATTGAAGATGAAAAAAAATGTTTTATCCTCTGGGGCTGACAAAAAGGAAATTGGCCGCAGAAATGTTTGTAGATGTTGGTGGCAGGGTGGGGGGATGACATTTGAGGTCACCTATAACAGCTTTGATTTTCTGGATGAAACAGGAGACCAGCTCATTCTTCCTAGAATGAGGGGTCTGTGGCTAAACACAGGGCCTGACAAGGGCATTAGAGGTTTGAGATAGTGGCTAGTTGGTTGTCTTAGCCCGTTTTTTGCTGCTATAACAGGATACCCGAGACTGGGTAATTTATAAAGACCAGAAATAGATTTCTCATTGTTGTGGAGGCTGAAAGGCCCAAGACAGAGGCACTGGCATCTAGCAAGGGTTTTCTTGCTGTGTCCTCACTTGGCAGAAGACCAAGAAAGAGTGAACCCCTAGCCACTAGCCCTTTTCATTGAGGCATCCATTCATGAGGGTGGCACCCCCATGACCTAAACACCTGCCAGAGGGCCCTACCTTCCGACACTGTTGCATTGGGGATTCAGTTCCCAGCCCATGAATATGGGGGTACACATTCAGACCATAGCAGGATTACATCAGTTAGGGTTCCATCAGGACCAGCAGAAACATCAATAATACGAAAAAAGACAACTAACTACAAAGACTTGTTAACTACATATAACGTTAACCACGTAAGGAATAACTCCCATATATCACAGAGGAAGCAACTACCACCTCTTGGGCTGGGCATACGGAGGGAAGCAGGTCCAATGATGAAAGCCTTGAAACTTGGCTGGGCACGGTAACTTGGATCATGCCTGTAATCCCAGCACTTTGGGAGACCGAGGTGGGTGGGTGACTCACTTAAAGTTAGGAGTTCGAGACCAGCCTGGCCAACATGGTGAAACCTCGTCTCTACTAAAAATACAAAAATTAGCAGGGTGTGGTGGTGCATGCCTGTAATTCCAGCTACTCAGGAGGCTGAGGCAGGAGAATTGCTTGAACCTGGGAGGCAAAGGTTGCAGTGAGCGAAGATTGCCCCACTGCACTCCAGCATGGGCAAAAAGAATAAGACTCTATCTTAAACAAAAACAAACAAAACCTTGAAACTTAGAGGAGTGGTCCGAAGGACCCAGGACCAGCCCTCTGAGAAGAATGTGCTGGCCAGCTGGTGGCAGCTGGGAGTGGTGAAACTGACTCTGCTAGTGTTGCAAGCACTGGCACCTGGATTCAGCTGCTGCGGCCGGAAGCAGCTGCCTCTGCTGGGTGGGGTGTTGCTGGGGTATTACTCAAAGAAGCCCCAAGTAGCAAAGAGGTCACAAGCCCCTCCTTCTTCCTCAGCTTCCTGTAGCACCCCAAAATGGTAGAGCCTAATGTATGGTTTGCAGAGTCTCAGCCCAGCATCACAAAGCCAAGCAGAGAAGCCTGGGTTTGGAGTAAAAGGCAATAACTTGGTAATTGTCATGGGGAATGCACAAAGCCACCCCTCACTATGTGAGTGGTATTTAGGGACCGTGCAGGCACGAGAGTCTATATTGGCTGAATTTCTTTCCTTTGCCTTCTGCAAATCATTTCTTGTTCTCCTAGGCCCTTGCCATTTTGGAGAAAATCAGAAAATCCTTGATGCGTCTCCTGGTTCAAAAGGAACTGAATAAGGATTACAAGTATCTATCAACAGGTAAATAAACAAAACGCAGCAGAAACATACAGTGGAATATTAGCCTTGAAAAGGAAGGCAACCCTGACCTATGCGATAACATGGAAGAACCTGGAAGACCATCTGCTAAGGGAAATAAGCCAGGGACAAAAGGACAAATACTGAATGGTTCCACTTATATGAGGTGCCCAGAATAGGCAGATGCCTAGAGATAGGAGGGAGAGCAGTGGTTGGGAGGTGTGGAGGAGGAGGGAATGGACAGTTGTTCAGTGGTTCCAGAGCTTCAGTTCTGCAGGATGGAAAACGTTCCACGGGTGGTGGTGGTGGTTGCACAACAGGGTGAATGCACTGAATACGTGTGACTTCACACAGAAATGGCTAAGGCAGGACATTTAACCTCATGTGGATTTTCCCACAGTCACATATTTTTTGAAAGGAACTAGGCTGGTGCAGTGACTCATTCCTGTAATCTCAGCATTTTGGGAGGCCAAGTTGGGCGGATCACCTGAGATCAGAGTTCGAGACCAGCCTGCCAGCATGGTGAAACCCCATCTCTACTAAACATACAAAAATTTAGCCCGAGTGGTGGCCTGCACCTGTAGTCCCAGCTACTCGGGAGGCTGAGGCAGGAAAATTGCTTGAACCTGGGAGGCACAGGTTGCAGTGAGCCAAGATCGCACCACTGCTCTCCAGCCTAGGCGACAGAGTGAGACTCTGTCTCAAAAAAAAAAAAAAAAAAAAAGGAACTAGACAGAGGTTAGAGCTGGAGGACATGGGTGGGCGCCCTGAGCCTGATGTGTCTGTCGCATGCCTCCGTCCTCCCACCCGGGTGAGCAGCATTTTCCAGGCTTTGCTGAGAGTTCTGACGTGGAACTGTCTTGGTCGGCCCTGCTGCACACCCACCCCAGGTGTATATGAGCAGGGGCAGTCGGCCCCTCTGGTAGTCCCAAGAATAACAAGTTATTGCAGCAGACGGTAACATTATAACAGCTAATATGGAGGGTGTTCAGCATGGCAGGCACGTGTGATCCTCAGCACACCTATGTTGCAGAGTCTGTTATCACCTCCATTTTACAGATGAGAAACCTAAAGCTCAGAGGGGTTGTGTCTAGCCTCTGGCCACCCACCTGCTAAGTGCAGAAGCCAATGTAGGAACGGGCTCTCTACCCGGGAACCCGTGCCCTTCACCGCGGGACTCTACCGCCCCCTAGTGGACCATCTAGCCTTGCATGGTCTCTCCTCCAGTTTCCACCCAGGTGGGATGTCCAGCTGTCTCCACTCATGAGAGGTAACTTCACAGTGGCTGTTTGCTGTTCCCAAGCACACCTCCTTCTCTTGTCCTAGTGCCACGCTGGCTGTGTTCTAACAAGTGGCAGCAGTGCTGAGTTTTGCTGCACACCCAGCGAGACACCCCAGACTCTGATCTTCCAGGAGCACCCCGGGGGGAGCTTCAGAGGCTTCTGGCAGGATTACCAGGTGTTCCTTACTGTGGTCCGTCAATTCCTACAGGAGCAACCCTGCTGGATTTAAGAATCTTCTTAAGCTTCTGTGGCTGTGGATGGAAATCCTTGGAATGGTAAAGGGGCTTCTGGATTTCTTTCTATAGCTCAGTTATGTAAAGTACTTTTTGGAGACACCCACTCTCCAGGTTTCTCCCTTGAATGGAAGGGTGTGCGTAGGATTCTGAATGGTGGAGGCATCCATTGAGAAGAGTGTTTTCCACACCATGCAGGCACTGTGGATGCTTCTGGGATTCTGGCAGGTGAATCTGGTTATCCGATATTTATGGCTTTTGTTGTTTGATGCAGGATCCAGTTGAGGTACACATAATGCATTGGATTGCATTCCTTTTTAAATTTAACTTTTTTGTGTGTGTGTGTGATGGAGTTTCACTCTTGTCACCCAGGCTGGAGTGCAATGGCACAATCTTGGCTCACTGCAACCTCTGCCTCCTGGGTTCGAGCAATGCTCCTGTCTCAACCTCCTGAGTAGCTGGGACTACAGGCACCCACAACCAGGCCCAGGTAGTTTTTGTATTATTAGTAGACACGAGGTTTCACCATGTTGGCCAGGCTGGTCTCGAACCCCTGACCTCAGCTGATCCGCCCCCCCTCTCAGGGGTACATGTGTAGGTTTATTATATAGGTAAATTTGTGTCATGGAATTTTGTTGTACAGATTCTTTTGTCACCCAGGTATTAATCCCAATGCCCATTAATTATTTTTCTTTAGCCTCTTCTAGTCTAGAATAGTCCCCCCAGTCACCACCACCTTGGGGTTTTTTTGGTCACATGGAACTTTTGGGGTTGAGATGAGTTTACTAGATTGTCCCCTGCTCCATGCTGAGTTTATTTGTTTTTGAGAAGGAGACTCGCACTGTTGCCCTGGTGGGAGTGCAATCGCGTGATTTCGGCTAATGCGACCTCCACCTCCCGGGTTCACATGATTCTCCTGCCTCAGGCTCCCAAGTAGCTGGGATTATAGGCGCACACCACCACACCTGGCTAATTTTTTGTATTTTTAGTAGAGACGGGTTTTCACTATGTTGGCCTGACTGGTCTCAAACTCCTGACCCCGTGATCCTCCCGCCTCTGCCTCCCAAAGTGCTGGGATTACGGGCATAAGCCACTGCACCCGGCCTCCATGCTGAATTTCTGTAATAGTTTCTTCATGTTTGGATTCAGATCAAATATGTTTGGCAAGATTACTTTGTAGACGATGGTTTGTACTTCTCACTGCCTCATATCAGGGGGAACATAAAACCTGACCTGGGAATCCCACAGTGAACAAATGCATCTTAACAGTATATTATGCTGTGTGATGTGCTGAGTCCTCTGCTATGCAGTGAACACACAATGAGAACTGCTGATATGATTGGGCATACAGAGATAAAGAAAACTGAAGGGCAGGCATGTGGGTTGGGAATAGGTACACTTAACAGAAAATCCAACTCCCAGTAGTCCATCCCAATACAAGCCAGGAGGCAGGCAGCCCAGAGCTGATGTGACAGCTCCTCCTGATTCAGGGTCTTGCTCTCTTTCACTCTGCTGTCACTGGGCTGTGGCCTTGGGTCTCATGAATCTAAGATGGCTTTTGCCCCCCAGACATTGGGATCCCTTCCAGGCAGGGAGGAGAAGAGGGGCACACCAGCTGCCCTGATCCCCTTTTAAGAAGCTTTCCCAGGGTGGCACCCAGTGATTCTGCTCACACCTCATTGGTTAGGACTGATTTGCATGGTCGCCCCAACATGCACGATTGGGAAATGTAGTTGTTAGGAGCATTGCTACCCTGAGCAAAAACATGGTTCTGTTAGAAAGGAAGAAGGAGAGAATGGGGATTAGGTAGGCAATTGGCAGTCTTTGCCCTGAAGAATAAGGCAGATTGGGGTTTGTTTTGTTTCTTGATGTGTGATCTTATTTATTTGTTACTCTTAGAAAGTCTTTCATTTTCTTTTTTGACAAGGCTTAAACTTGGAGGTAGAAATTCTCAGAGAGGACAGCTCTGTCTCTTGGCAATCTGTTCTTGGCATTTTTGTTTGACCTCCTGCATTCTCTTGACCTAAAGCTGAGCACGTTCGGCTCTCCAACCTCTTATTTTTCTAAATATGCTGTTTCTTCAGAGAAATAGGCCTGCATTTGTGTTGCTGGACACATGGAGTGACACGACTGAATCTTGTGTGCTTTACTCCTGGGTCTCTTACTTTCTTTGTTTAGGGGCTTTCTCACAAAGCACTGCTGTTCATCATCTTCTTTGGAGAGACAGAAACATTTGTGGATTCTGCCATCTGTTTTGAGTCCCAGCACAGAGGCCCAGTAGCATCAATCAGTCCAGGAATACCCTTCTGTTCTCTTCAGCCAATAGTTATATTGATAACACTCAGATTGGCATCCATAGTGCAACCCAGAACAGATTTGAATTTTCTTTAAAAATTTTTTTTCAGATACCAGGTCTCACTCTGTCACCAGGACAGAGTGCAGTAGTGCGATCACAGCTCATTGCAGCCTTGAACTCCTGGGTTCAAGCAAGCCTCTTGCCTCAGTTTCCCCAGTAGCTGGGACCACAGGCGAGAGCCACCACACCCAGCAGACTTATGCTTCCTTTCTCCAGTTCTCCTTGGTCTCTAAAAAGAATGCCCCTTATGCAATGGCACATGGGCACGGCCATGCTCAGGACATCCTGCTTCTTGGGGAATTGACTTGGACCACAAAACCCTTCTGTTCTTTTCACTCAGAGCATCAGAATACACTTCTCATAATAGGTCCAAAGTTTGTGTTCATTGCCCACTTCAGTGACTTTCTGGCAGCCAGTGGCTGGGAAGGAGATGTTCAGCTTCATCTTTTTTTTTTTTTGAGATGGAGTCTCTCTGCAGCCTAGGCTGGAGTGCAGTGGTGCGATCTCGGCCACTGCAACCTCTGCCTCCTGGGTTCAAACAATTCCTCTGCCTCAGCCTCCCAAGTAGCTAGGACTACAGGTGCATGCCACCATGACAGGCTAATTTTTGTATTTTTAGTAGAGACGGAGTTTCACTATGTTGCCCAGGCTGGTCTTGAACTCTTGACTTCATGATCCACCTACCTCAGCCTCCCAAAGTGCTGGGATAACAGGTGTGAGCCATGGCCAGCTTCAGCTTCATCTTGAAACAGCTTAATCACCTCTGAGTCCCCACAAAAAAGAAAAGGTAGATTTTTGACAGCTAGAGAGACAGCTACACAGATTATATTAGAGTTTAGAAGTTCTCACAAGCCATTAGAAAATGGATTATTCCCTAGCCGTGGTAACAAGCAGCCACCGGAACGAATTTCCCATCTGTTCAGTCCATCAATGAGGACTTGGTTACCTTCCACAAGCTAACCAATCAACTTCTGAAGGCCAGTCAATCAGTGACTGGCTCACTGAAACACATCTATGGGAGCCAACCAATCAACAATAGCTCAGGCAGCAACCACACTTCCAGGGAGGCTGCCACTCAACTTAATGCCTCAGGAAGGCCTCCAGCACCTGAGCCCCACACCTTCCAAAACCCTATATAAGTCAGTGCTCCACTCAGAGAGATGGAGCTAACCAGCATAGCTCTCCCTTCCTGTGGGAAACAATACATTCAGCTTTGTTCCCTTATTTCAGGTATCTAAGTGGTTTTTCTATTACAATCAAACTAAAAGCCTATTCTTTAACTTGTTTGTATCTTCCATGATTAAGCCATTCGCCCAGCAAAGCCTTCAACCATCTGCATGCACAGCGTCCACGGATTAGGCACCAGTGCGTACAGAGACCTCTCCCTTGCAAGCTGATGGAGAAAGAGACAAAACGGGCCCAGGAGGCCTGTTATTGGGCAACCACCCAGGTGCAGGTTATCCCTAGAAGTGAGCAACCAAGAAGGTCTGGAGTAGCTGAGAAGCTCAGGCTTGATTTAATCCAATGCCTGCAAGCTAGAGGGGGCAAAGTGAGCGGTCATTCCAACAGTAGTTATAGTTGTTACAACACTCGATGACAGGTGTTGCAATTACAGGTGTTCTGTCTGTTTTGAGGAAGCTTTTTCGCTCTTTGCTAAGGGAATAAGGAATAAGTAACCGTTTTTTAGGTCAGGGAGTGGCAAACTGAAGTCCATGGGCCAATATCATCCAGGCTGGATGCAGTGGCGCGATCTCAGCTCACTGGAACCTCTGCCTCCTGGGTTCAAGCGATTCTCCTGCCTCAGTACTCACAAGTACATGCCACCACACCTGGCTAATTTTTGTATTTTTAATAGATGGGTTTAGTAGATGGGGTTTCACCATGATTGCCAAGCTGGTCTTGAACACCTAACCTTAAGTGATCTGCCCACTTCAGCCTCCCATGGTTTTATATATTTTTTAATGGATACATTCTTACAAATAGCATTTTTTTTATTGTGGTAAACTACACATAACATAAAATTTACCATTTTGACCATTTTAAAGTGTACAGTTTAGTGACATTAAATACATTCATAATGTTGTGCAAGCATCATCACTATTTCTAGAATTTTTCGTCATCCCAAACTAAAACTCTATCTATTAAACAGTAATTTATTCTCTGCCTGGCCCTTGCTAACCACTATTCTACTTTCTGTCTCAACAACTTGCCTATTCTAGGAACCTCATGTCAGTGGAATTACCCAGTACTTGTTCTTTTGTGTCTTGCTTTTTTCACTTTCTCAGTGAAACATTTTGCTTAATGTTTTCAAGGCTCATCCATATTGTAGCATGTGTCAGAATTTCCTTTTTCTTTTCTCTTTTTTGAGACAGGGTTTCGCTCTGTCACCCAGGCTGGAGTGCAGTGACGCAAATGTGGGCTCCCTGCAAACTCTGCCTCCCAGGTTCAAACGATTCTCCTGCGTCAGCCTCCTGAGCAGCTGGGATTACAGATGTGCGCCACCACACCCGGCTAATTTTTGTATTTGTAGCAGAAATGGGGTTTCACTATATTGGTCAGGTGGTCTCAAATTCCCAGCATCAGATGATCCATCTGCCTCAGCCTCCTAAAGTGCAGGGATTAAGGTGT